GCAAGTATCCAACAACATCAATCTATAGTTGGTCGGTCACACCGACAACGCCTAGGGGGCAGTAAACAAAAACTTAGTCAACCAGTTCAACGAGCTTACAACATCAGCAGAATATCAAATTTTATTAAAGCCTCATAGGGGCTGATTCAAGTACATAGCTGTGGGCATACAACACCCAAAATATAAGTCTACGTGAACAAAAAAAGAAATACACTATGGAGCAGAGTGCTCTGGATCCTGATCCTGATCTTGAGTCGAATGCCCTATCGTTGGCTAGACCCCCTTCCCTTTGCTTGAAGACGCCTTCATTGCTGACCCATCTTAAGGTAGGGACTCAGTCGACACAACAAGTAATTCTTCCAAGTCTCTAGCAAAGTCATCCATGGAATCCTTCTTCTCGGTCTCAACTTGATCTTTCTTTGCTCCACCATCCCCACGTGCCGACTTTGCTTCAATCCCTTCCCACAGTTCTATATCTTTATCAGGATTCCAGTAAGAAGTGTTGCCCGACTTATATTCCTTCATCAATTCAGTGCGAGTCTTGATCATGGCATCTATGGAAATTGATTGACATCGCTCCCTAAGGGCGATCGACTCCTTCTCCTTCTCGGCCAGCGCCTTTTCCTTCTCGGCCAATGTTTTCTTCAACTCTGCCAACTCTAGCTCAACCTGTCGTAGCTTAGCAGTACTCTCCTTCGATAACTTCAAAGCTGAAGCCTCTCAAGTACGAAGGCCAACATTGGACTTTGTCAATTCCTAGATCTTCGCGTCTTAGGTGACCATGAACTTTTTTAGATAGAGACTCCCAATCAAAGCCTGCAAAAAATCAAACACTCAGAAGTTGTATTTTTAGAAACAAAGCATTCCAAGATAAAGATTACCTGAAACTGTTGAGCCACTGCACATTCAGCAACTGCACTCATTCCCTTTTGGTCCATTCGGCTCTCGTCTGCGGGTTGCAAGAAAGACTTGGCTAGGTTCCCCATCCCGGTTGCATCAGAATAGATAAAAGCCATCATCAAGAGTGTGACGATCATCTTCTCAACATCCTCGTCGACTTGGACAGTCTTTGATGACCCAGCTCGGTCGAGGGCTGCACAATTGGTGGCACTAACTCGATTCGTCCCACCTAGACATTCTCACTCGACCTAGCCGCCGACTCTTTCTTTCTCTTAGCTTGGCACTAGGCAATCGCTTCGTTTGCATTTGGAAGTCGACATTGATGCTCTTCATGAGTCTTTCTACAAGGGCAAACTTTCTAGGAGTTAGAGGATGAAGAAACAAATGTCAAAAACAGATCTAGTTGCAATAACACGTCAATAAAAAGCTCCAGGTTTGCTTCAGCATAGGGAGAGCTATACCTCTCTCTCTATTGTAGCGACCCTGCTCCAAAGATGACTCGCCCTAAGGTTTGCCTCTTGTAAAAGCACTCTCCAGTCTCTCTACTTTTGTAGTATATCAAGCACTTCCTGGGTGGGCATGTCTAATTCGTCACCATTTTGCCTGACCTTGTTAAACCTCAGATCTACAGAATAACGAAAGATAAGGCTCAATACTCAAAGAACAAAAAACAAGTAAAAGGTTACTCACTAGTCGCCTTCCAAGTAAATGGTATGTCGCCCCTGCTCTTTCTCTCCAAAGATTGTTTTGCCCTTCAAGAATAAGAACTTCCCCTTCCAGTTTTATCACTCAATCGTAGGAACATCACTAAGTGGAGTCGGTCATGCCTTAAGGTGATTGAGTATCTACATTTGTCTCTGTCGTGCTCCTTCAAGTAATAAAAGTAAAGGAACTCATGCATGCCGAATCCCACTCGGTACATGGTGCAGAGAAGCTCTAACACTATCAACAGCCTTCAGCCATTCGGCATGATCCGAGTCAGTGCTATCATGAAATGGTTTAATACTTCCTAAACCAAGCGGGGAATCGGCGACCTTAGCCAGTCGTAGAAATAAATATCGTACATTACAATCCACCTTGGTACATCCCAGTCGACTCGCTCATGGTCTCTTAGCAGACGTATCTCTACTGAGTCAAGAATATGGTACATGGTCATTATCCTCCATTCATCATCCTGAGTGAGCTCTGGGGGATAGTCCAAAGGCAAGATCCCTCCACCCGATCATTCCTCGCACTCCCACTCATAGAAGGTTCACCCTCAGGTGTGCTACCTAGCTCTTCATCGCTATCTTCCCCACTCTCCCCTTACTTGTCAGAGTCGTCACTACTTGACTTGGCAACAGCCAGATCGGCCATGGCTACATTTTGTCCCTTAGGAACTCCCACAGGAACGTTACCCTCTTTCGGCAAAACTACCATAGTGGGAGCATTCTCATACTCTCCTCCCCCCTCCATCTCACCCTGACTGTTCCCACTCGACTCGGAATTCAACATTGGATGTTCAGAAGTTAAACTTTTTTCATGACAATTGACTGAGTCTGACAGACCTACCGAATGATCAAATCAACTTTCGCCTTGAAGGATGAAGTTACACTTTGCTCCAAAAGTTATCACTCGACTCGATCAAGCACCCCGGGCGTACCGAATGGAGATAGTGAATAAATCAACTCTTCTTTCTTCCATAAACAAAACTCCCAAAATTTCCAGAAACTTTCCCAGCGACACCCACACTCCTAAAACCAAATCCTTTAAAGCCTTTCTCCAAAATTCCTAAAAAAATCGCCTTAAAAACTCATCGTAATCTCGAAATCTAGCGAATCTAGAAGTACCTTCTGTGAACTCTAGAAAGAACCGAAGAAACCAAAAAGAAAAAAGTGGTACGCTGGATTACTCAAAGAAAAACGATCATAAAACTTGCTTAAATTGTCTCTAAAACAAAAGGAAAGTAGAAGCAAAGAGAAGAAATCAATTTCTGTGAAGGAAAAGAGAATTACCGTGAACAAATCATTGAAAACTCCTGAAAAAGCTTCGACGGCGACCGAAGAAAAGTTTTGAGAGGAGTAGAGAATGAAGTGAAGGCGAAGATGAACAGTCGCCAGAACGACTTCTCCTTTTAATCACCCAACCTGCTAGGACAACACGTAGTAGCAGCCAATTGGTTGCAACCCTTCAATTTCCCGCTTAAAAGAAAGAGGAAATCCTAATCGTACATGTGTCATATGATGAGACCGCCTCAGGAACCCCAATTTCTTATTTCTTGCTCAAAGCACACATAACTCTACAGTACACGCGTCTTGTTCTCCCGACGCCACCCAATCACACTTAGACAAAGTTTGACTCGCCCGAGCAAACCAACTAGACTCCCAATCTGAGAAACAGACAAGACCTATTCGGAATACGAAGCGCATAGACACTCGACCTGACTGGTCGACTGGATCCTATAAAGGGTAACGCCTCTTACCCTATCTTTTGGTTCAGTTGACTGAACAGACTCACCTTCAAAGGTCTCTCCTCGCACCTAATTGCTTGGTTCAGTTAGCCGAGTTGACGTAGCTACAAAGATTGTATCTTGCATCCTAGCACTCGGCTCGATCAACTGAGAGGACTCAGCTACACAAGAATTCGAAAATATAACCAACAGTCTCCTCACACTTTCACTAAGACAAGACATCCTCATTCAGTTAAAGAGAACACTCGACCGTCTCGGCAGACCGCCTTCTAGTTAGGTTAGCTTCCCGTCAGACCATCAACTCTTCAAGCTAAATACTCGTTAGCTTAGAGAGTAGGGGGCTAACTATAGGGGTAAAAAATCACCCGGGGCCTTATCAAGCCCAAACAGGAATGTTCCACTACATCGGCCCAAGCTAAAGATCCAATCTCGGTTGGGTTAGCATCAGAGCCCATGACATGGGCCAAACACGCACCCCAGGTCCAACTTTTCTCCAGAATGGGCAACACCAGTAGCCCACCTAAGGCCAGCCCTTCCAGATCGAGGTAAGTAACATTCTTCCTGTTTGATGCTATCCTAATTCGCCCAAGATTCCGTATCTTAGGTAAATTAGGACTTCTGTTGCTAATAAGTCGAGTGAATCAGGATCTTTCCTATTCACTAGACTTCTTCCCTTAAGGACTCAGAATCCTATAAGGATACGAAGATCTTACAACTACTATATAAATGGGGGTCACTCCTCTGTTTACGCATTCAACCTCAATATCACCTACTAGCATCCAAGCTCTTACTTCTATGAGCCATACTACTACGCCGTGCTTCTAGTCTCTGACTTGACCTCTAGTAACCCTTCATTCCCTTACCCTCACTAAATTATCTCATTCAACCTTACTGACTTAAGCGTTGGGAGTGCCTATGGTAGACACCACACTAGTGTCCAAGTAAACTCCACGCTTGTTTGCTTTGTGTGCAGGTACAGCGGATTGCCAATGGCCTCAACCTCACGAGATTAGACCCTACTTTTGCAACCGTAGATTTTAGCATCTACATTATATAATCTCTTCACATGCCGATATATTATTATCTCATCAATTTGTATTTTTTTTAATAGAAAATAGAGATTTATGATTTTTTTTTTTTTTTTTTTTTTTGGACTAACAAAGTGGTTATGGTAATTACATCCTAATTTACCCAAAAAAATAAATTAAATATATGTAACAAAAGAATAATAAGAAAGCATGTTATGATATTATTTTAATTTTTATCAACTCAAAACACTAAAAACAAGTATAATAATAATCAAATCTACAAAGGAATCAAAAGCACTAAATTTTAAAAAATAGACCTTGTGAACCATGATTTCCATACTATAGAGCAAAGTGAGAAGTGAATTATATAATTAAGAAAATCACAAAAAGTGAATTATATAATTAAAAAAATTGAAATAGAAACGAAAATCGTGCCGGCCCCCTCATCACAAATATTTACTTAAAATTGTAAATGCAACGGTTGTCTTCATCATCATAATGAAAAGAAAATTTACAGCGAAACTAGATTCTTGAATTCCATTCACGAACTTTGGAAATCCCGAAGAAAGAAAATTATATATAAATTATATTATATATATATATGCTAAAGCTGATGCACTCAAACCAACCAATGACCATCTCCCTCCTTAGTCTTCACCTAAACCTAAAACTCGCACACCTTCTACCTACTCCTCTTTCTCAGCCAACTATAATTAACAACACTTGCATTTTTCAGCTTTAGACTCTTTCTTTTTTTCTTTCTCGTTGTGTTTTTGGTTCCGTAGCAATGACATTTAGGGGGTTTTTGCGGTTGTTGTTTCTGGTTCTGGCCGTGTACTGTGGGCTTGACCCCTTCAAGCACAGTGCCATATCGGAGTTTCCGGATTATGTGTCACTCAAAGTGGAAATGCCTGATTGGTCACTCGTTCCGACGGATAAAGACGATCAAAATTTGCTGCAGAAGTCGGAAATTAAATTCTTGAACGAGATTCAAGGCCCTGAAAGCATTGCTTTCGACCCTCTTGGCCGTGGACCTTATACTGGTGTTGCTGATGGTAGAATTCTCATCTGGAATGGCCTCAAGTGGACTGACTTTGCTTATACTTCCAATAACAGGTTGGTTTTTTTTATTCTTCTTTTTAGCTTCGTTGGAGTCTTTTGACTGAATGAGAGTTGAATTTAGTTTGGATTAAATTCGAGGCCTTAATGTCCACTTGATTTCAAATGGAGCATGTGCTGTATTAATTATTAGAAAATTGAACATTTTTGTCTTAATAAATGGGGGAAACTGTAGTGGATATATATTCTTACCAAGAAGAAAGGAAGAACGAAAAAAAAAAAAATCAGAAAGTGGTTTTGAATTCAGATTTAATACCCAAATAAGCAAATATTGTGTTAATGGGGAAAATGGAAGAGATAGACACCGATAGCTATTGGATTTTTGGTAAACATAGACGTGGAGTCATATGCATTATGTTTGTAAATTAACATGTTTTCATAAAAAATCCTAAATATCTCTACTGTGTAATTTATTTAGAAACTTGAATAATTCAAGTTTGGTGAATGAAAAAAATTGTAAAGAACCAACTCCAGGGATATGTCTAGTAATTGAAATATTCTACAGATTGAGCTTTCATTATCTTATGAGTTATGACCTCCATCAGAACTTTGATTTTAATGTTTGTCATCTCTAACCACATTGTGAATTTGCTTGTAATTGTGCATTGTACCACTTAAGTTAGATTAGTTTGTGTTTCTGGGAAATAGTCATCCGTTCATTGAATTTCTATTCTATGATGAGCTGATTTCACTGAAGAGATTAATTTCACCTAGGTCTCATATTTTTTTTTTTTTTTTCAATTAAATTATTTGCAAAATTGAGATAACAAAACTACAGATAAAAGGTAATCAATAAATTGTTGGACAAAAAAACGAAACAAAGAAAGAAAAAAAGGAATATATTTCTATCAAATTTCCATGTTCCTAAGTATATTGAATTATTAGTATGGTTTAAACTGAAATTCGGCATGGTCTGATATAAATTCCTCACTGAAATGAGATATCTGGTTCATCTATTTATTTTTGCTGATTTCTTAAAAGTCTGTGAAGCTGTGTTCTGGTTATTTATTATCACTTCAGCAATGATAATCTTTTTTCCCCTTAATGATTTTGGAATTTAGGTCGGAATTATGTGACCCGAAGCCATCGCCTTTTGCTTACTTGAAGCATGAGCACATCTGCGGCAGGCCTTTGGGGCTCCGGTTTGACAAGAAAACTGGTGATTTATACATTGCAGATGCATATTTTGGACTGATGAAAGTAGGTCCAGAAGGTGGATTGGCAACATCCCTTACAACAGAAGCAGAAGGTGTGCCGCTGAGGTTTACCAATGATCTAGACATTGATGATGAAGGGAATGTTTACTTTACAGATAGCAGTATTGTATACCAGCGGAGGTGTGGAAATTTCTACTGCTGTGCCTTAGATGCTTATCACTGATTATAATAATTTTATTCTGCTGATGAAGAAATTCATTGTTTCAAATAATTTGTCACTAGCGTCAAAATGGATTTTCAGTTAGTGCTTTAAATTGTCACTTGCTTTTTACTGAAAAAAAAACAGAACCAATGAGAAAAACTGTATAATTTTCACAATGAGAAGGTTGTTCCAATTTTAATACACAAGAGGGTGTCTTACTCTATATCGAAATCTATCCCCATTATCATCTTGTTATACGCTTGGCTACTGTTATAACGGGTGGAGGAGGATTCCTATACATTATTATGCATGCACACGCTTGATGTTACAAATTTAGTTGGTTTTACAATTTCAACTTTCTCATAGCTTTTTCTCTTTACGTTTAACTGTATGCATTTGATAGTGCTATTATTTTTTCAATTTAATGGTCTGGTTAGTCTACCTGATCGTCAATTGTATCTGCTATTTGTTAGATTATAACTTTATTGCAGTACGATATGGTTAAAAACCAAAAGAAAATCGCCATAATTCAAAAGATGATTAAGATAAAAGATAGCTCTTTGTACTGTATTCGAATGTTATTTAAGAATCTATTATAGATTTCCTGACTTGTTTATGATCAGTCATAAAAGCATTTCAAGAAGATAATCAGATATATCCTGTTGTTGTGCAAGGTCTCTAAGACAAAAATTGCCTAGTGCTGAGAGGATAGCTTTGTACCAAGTCTTAAACCATGCTCTAATCATATTTGGTTTTCTATGTTGCTTCTTTGCGATGATATTATAAAAGTATGGTTATGGGGAGACTTTTTTTTCTTTTTTCTTTTTTTTGAATGTAAGCATAATTGTGGTGCATTTCTTCTGACACATTAATATTTCTCAGGAACTTCATGCAATTGGTTTTCTCTGGTGATGATAGTGGAAGGGTTCTCAAGTATGATCCAACTACAATACAAACAACTGTTCTTGTGAGGAATCTCCAGTTCCCTAATGGTGTGTCCTTAAGTAAGGACAAATCATTCTTCCTCTTTGTTGAAGGATCCGTTGGCAGGTGACCCTTCTTGTTTTTATATTCGCAATTCTTGCAGTTTCTACATTTTTGGGAACCTTCATGTGGTAGTTTGTCACATATTGATATGTGGCTAGAACTGACGAAAGGAATTTAAGTTTCTCCTTTGATCTGAGGAGTTTCTTTGCATGTTCTATTACAAGCACCAATGATTTAAATTTGTATTTACGAAGAATGGCATCTAATAGCTATGCAGTCCATAAAATTTGTTTTGACGTCTCTGTTGACAAGTGAAAAGATATGGACCCCCTGCTTTTGGGAGGTTTTATTAAAATATAGTTTTTTGCTGCAGAGGTATTTTTGATGAAATCTTTTCATAAAATGATATTGTTTTATCTCAACTTTTTCTTTCAAAATGTCGGAGATTTGAGACAAAAATCTTAATACATTGTCTCACATTAAAGATTGTCCAATGAACTACTGGTGTATTTGGGACATTGTTATCTTTTTATGACTTTGACAAAATACTGCAATTTCAATCTTAAATATATATTGTGATTGCTAATTGCCATTTCAAAATCAGGAAACATTATATGTGTGTCAGAAGTTGTATTGAATCATTCAGGAATTAGAAGCCTTTGTTTTCCTGTTTTATGAAATATTTATTCCATCTGGTAATGCAGATTATGCAAGTATTGGCTGAAAGGTGAGAAAGCAGGTACTTCAGAAGTGTTTGCCATCTTGCCTGGATACCCTGACAATGTCCGAACTAATGAAAAAGGTGAGTTCTGGGTGGCAATCCACTGTCGGCGATCACTATATGCTTACTATTTGGGTCTATTCCCCAAACTTCGGACGTTCATGCTTAAACTCCCGATATCGGCAAAGATACATTTCCTGATACAAATTGGGGGAAGGCCCCATGCAGTAGTTGCCAAATACAGCCCAGAGGGGAAGCTTTTGCAGATATTAGAGGACAGTCAGGGAAAAGTTGTTAAAGCAGTTAGTGAAGTGGAAGAGAAGGATGGTAAGCTGTGGATGGGCAGTGTTCTGATGCCATTTATTGCAGTTTACGACTTACCTTGAGTAAAGTACAACCATTTAATATACAAAGCTAGAGGTATCTAGCCGCTTTCAACTGCTTTTCTTTGTCGCTTGAAAGTGTTGTGAACCATATGTGCTGGGTTAGAATTTCTTCTTTGTTTCCTCATGTTGGCATTCTAATGTTTTTGCCTTTTAAATGATAAAATCATTTATGTTTACCTATAGTGACTTGCTTTAATGGATTGATCTCTAAACTTAATTTCATTCACATTTATCTTTGGATGTGAAATTAGTAAGATTGCACCATACTAAATTTGAAGTTTCAGATTATCTTAGCTGTATTCCTAGCTGTTGTTGGTGAATTTCTTAAGTATAGAACATTTGGTTCAGTTGTGCGTTCAGTAAGATGAAGATAAGCCAATTTTATGGAGGGAGCTCTCTATGAAAATTCTAGATTTTGGGATATTTTTTATTAAGTCTTCTTTTTGTCAATTAGGATGAAAATGGAGCTATAAGACGACAAATTTGTTGGTTATCTTTGACGAAGATGGCATTATCAAATGTCAATTATGTTCATGTGTTTGGATGGTTAAAAAAGTTTAACTTGTTGCGTGTTAAGTTAATGTATACATTGAAAAATGTAATCATCTTGCAAGTAAATTAACTTTTACAGTAAGTTTGAAACTATATGATGTTGAATTTGGCTTGTATTATTTGTGATGAAATAGAACCAAAAGAGGAAAACTTTGTTTGCGAAGATTAGATTCTGGATAGAAGATACATTGATTTTATAGAATGAAGACTTTGTTTGATATTGAATTCATGTCTTAGGCTTTTGAAAATGACATGTTTCGATTATTGTTTTCAGTCTGGTTGGATTTTTTCATCTTGTTCATTTAGCGACTACCCAACAAAATCCAATAACCTTATTGAAATAATATTGTTTTAAAAATGTATAAAGTGATACTTGTAGCACTACAAACATTTATGATCAACTAATAACAAAATTTATTATTACAAATTGATGCAATTGGGCTGTTAGAATGTTATTTTATGACAATTAATATCACTTGGGGTACTTGACTCTGTGTTAAGCTAATGTACTACCACTTAACTAATTAATAATTACCTAATTTCCCTCTAAGGTTGGTTTAGATTAAAATCTACATGATAATTTCATTATTAAATATTGCTAGTATTGAAATTCATTTAATAACTATTAAAAAGCTAATTCCTAAAGTTTGATCAGATAGGAAGATGAAAGCTGGTTTGAGCCCGGTGAATAAATTTCCATCCATTGAGGAGATTAAGTCGTCGGATCAATATTATGCTCCCCCGATTCAGAAGATTGAAGGCTCTACATTGATTTCAAGTGATGATTGCTCAGAGGAATACCTAGCTCCAGGCCTGGGGTGTCAAAATATTGAATCGGAAAAGGATCAGGAAGGCTTTAGCAATTCAATTGAGACAGGTGAAGTCAGGAAACAATCAGAATTAGCGTGCCAACGATACTAAGCTCCGGTCCCCAATGATGTGTCTCTCTAAAATGATGTATCTTGCATGCTAGTTTTTTTTCAAGTAGCCTCAAATTAAAATAACACCGAATCTCCAATATCTTGTAAACGATTTACGGATGGTACTAGGCACCCTCAAAGTTAGATAAAGAGTTATGATGAAATATATTGGAATATAATTCCATATTGGGCTCATAGCTAGATCATAGTGAACCTAAGTGATCACACCTAAAAAACCAAGTAAGATAAGAGAGAGTGATACACATCGTTAAAGGTTAACGATGTTTGGATGTAAAATGTATGTATTGTGAGAAATGATTATTCATGGAAAGCTAGCATTTACCAAGGGTATTAAGGACATTAGGTCATTATTGGATTAGATTCAATAATGGGTTAATATATATATTTATAGGATTAGATTCAATAATGGGCTAATATATATACTTATTGGATAGAATTCAATAATGGGCAATATATATAAAATGAGATTGAATAATTTGCCTGGGTTATAAATTTGTTTAAACCAAGGATTAATTATTAAATTGAAATTGTTACAAGGACAAACAAACAATAACGAAATTTTATTAAGAAGTTAATAACAATTGCAAAATTGGTCCAAGTATATAAATGTGATTATAATCTCATTTAACCTAATTTTCACATAACTCTCAAGAACCCTAAAGGTGGCATTTTCACTCTTCTCTTCTTGGGGTCGATACACTTGAGGTTCTTCAAGTTTTTTGAAGATCTTGGAACTCCTTTGCAAGCTTCAAAGATTATAGAAGCTTAAAAGGTACAATTTCTATCCAATTAGTTTGAATAACATGTCATATGGACCTTTTGCCATATCTGCCATGTTAATTACCATGTTTCCATCAATTTTACCCCAAATAGCATGTAATCTTTCAATCACTATAATACCAGCTTAGCAAGATGTGCTTTTAAAATTGATATCCAAAAAGCTTACGATACAGTGGATTAGGGCTTTCTTTTGAACACTCTTAAGTACTTTGGCTTTTCTGATATCATGATTGGCTGAATCAAAGAGTGTGTTACTACTTCTTTTTCTATTGCTATTAATGGAGAGCACCATAGCTTCTTTCAAGGGTAAAGAGAGTTAAGACATGGGGATCCTCTTTCCCCTTACCTGTTCAAGTTAGTAATTCAAGTCCTTTCGGTTATTATCAGAAGACGAATTTGAACTAGTGAGGAGTTCAAGTTCGATTATAGATGTGATAGACAACAAATTAGTCATCTTTGCTTTGCATATGACTTATTTTTATTTTACTATAGTGATCTTGCTTTTGTTCAAGTGTTGACAGACGCTCACACAGTTTTCAGATCTATCGGGTTTGAGGCCTAACCCTTTTAAAAGCTCCTTATTTATGTGTAATGTTAATTAAAAAAGAAAATTATTATAAATAGTATAATGTGGTTCAATGAAGGCACCCTTCTTGTCAAATACCTTGGAGTGCCCCTCATTACCACTAAGCTTCTTCACCGCGATTGTATATCGTTAATTGATAAAGTCCAACAAAGACTTAATTCCTGGAAAAATAAAAATATGTCTTATGTTGGGCGCTTGCAGCTGGTTATTTCGGTCTTGTCTTCTTTACATGTTTTTTGGTCTTCAATACTCTTTCTTCCTAGCTTTATCACTCAAACCATTGAAAAACTGATGAGATCCTTTTTATGGTCTATGCATGATTTGAGTTGAAGAAAGGTAAGTGTGGCTTGGACAGATGTCTGCATTCTTAAATGGGAGAGAGGTCTTGGGATAAAACTTCTTAAGTGGAAGAATTATGCTCTAATGACTAGGGCTGAGCATGGGTAAAAGGTAGAACCGGAACCAAAACCAACCTACATATGTTCAGTTTCGATTCCAAATTTGGTGGAACTAGCCTTGTACGGGTCAGGGTCCGTTCCACCACTTCAGTAACCGGACCCAGAATCGGGAACCAAAGTTGAAACTGAGGTCTGGGTACCCAGGGTGGAACCAACGAGTACCCGGGGTGTACTTGTTATTGTTATAAATTGTTGGGGTGTATATTTGTCGTTTTTAGACTATCAGGGGGTATACAAAATTTATAGGGTACCTAAAACTAGAATCGGAACCTGTGTTATAGGTTCCAGTTCTGAGTACCTAGGAGTTGAAACTGACCAGTTCTATTTCCTTGGAATTGGGCAAGGTACCGGGACTCGCTCGCCTCTACTAATTGCCTTTCACTTGTGGAGCATAGTTTCGGATGAACATTCTTTTTGGGTCAAACGAATCAATTGTTATAAACTTTGGGGAAGAAATTTCTAGCGTATTAAAGTACCCTGGGATGCCTTTGGTGTTGGAGAAAGCTGTTAAAAATGAGAGACATGGTTAGACTCCACATTGGATCTGATTTGGGGGATGATAGAAACACTTCATTATGATTTGATAACTGGCATCCGATAAGCCCCTGAACTTGTGTGTTCCCTCTATAGTTTTCTTTACTTCGGGGTTGTGATACAATGCATGGGTTAGCGACATTATTTGTAATCATCGATGGAATTGGCTGGATAGATTCAGAGAAGATTTTCCCTTAGTGAGCGTTTGATTTGGGTCATAAAAGATAACATCGGTAATCTATCTTTAATAAAAAAATTACCACGTTTGGGTGTCAAGTAATGAAAGATTCCGGTAATCGACCAATATTAATAGTGATTACTGCAGATAATATAGGGGTAATTTGATTATTGTCTGAAGGGGTGTTATTTTTTTATTACCGGGGTAGTCCACAATTCATACCAATTTTGCCCTTAATTAATAAACATTTTGGACACAAATGTCCTCATATGTCTACTAAATAACAATTAGCCCAAATGTACAAAATGACTTTTGTTACCTCATTTATTATTATTTTTTGACAAAAATACCCTTACTATTTATATGAATAATACCCAAAATAGCCCTAACTACCCAAGATGACTGCCAGCCATCGACTACCATCGTCAATCGTTGTCGACAGTCGTTGGAACAACACACACGACTGGCTGAATCTAGCCAACCGTGCACCGATATGGTCATTTTCGACCAAATCGAAGGCCAAAAAAGGCCAAATGGACGTGGGTTGGCCTTGTGGCAAAAAACTACCAAATCCATTATGACCATTTCTAGCCAGATCCATGGCTATAAATGGCTAGAATAGATTTGGCCATTTTTTACCAGATCCACGACTGTTAATGACCACAGATCTGGTTGTTAATAGCCAAAATGGATATGACCAGACGACCAAATCCACGGCCATCTAGCCGTTTGCGCCCTTCGAGCTAGTCGAAAATGGCCAGATCTATGTTTGGATGATTGTCAGTGGTAACCGGTGGTGGTGGCTGGCGGATGGGAGTTGTCTTGGGTGGCTGGGTGTATTTTGTTAAATTTTAAACTTTTGTTGTTAGGTGTTTTAGCTAAATACTCAAATGTAGAGGGTTAAAAATAATGCTCTAAATAATAATAATAATATTAGAAAGGAAGGGCAATTTAGTATAATCCCTCCGATAATATTTTATTCCTCTCAAACTAACATATTAATTATTTATACTCACCAATATAACCAAACATATTGATATAACATTCTCCCATTAATCTTCAAGGTAATCTATAGTTCCCTAAACCCAACGCTATGTAATTGTCAACCATAATCTTCCTATTTTTTTTACTAGCAAAAAGGACACAATTGTTTAAAGGGACATGGATGGTAAAAGGGTAAGATTTTCTACGAGGCAAGATTTC